CTAATAATTAAAGTTCAATATTAATATGAACAATAGCAATAATACAATCAAAGGCCATTGACTTTTTTGAGCATCAACAATTATTCGAACATTAGAATGTAAATCTACTCTATTCTACTATACTCTATAAGATAAATTAACTTTAGAGTAAGCAAATTTTGTATTTCTGCTGTAAGAACTTATGAAATATTCTATATGAAATGCAGTGTTTTGAGATAATGAAAATGATATTTAACTGAAAGAAGATTCAGACTAAATGATGAATTATAGAGATTAATTTTAGAAAAAAATAAAACAAATTAAAGAAATAGAAAAGAAAATATTCAAATTATTTAATTAAAATAACATGAAAATAAAGATAACCGATAGACTTAAAAAACTTGAAATCGATGATATGAAAATATATATAATAATATTTATATTTAAATATTATCAAAATTTAGTTTATTTCAAGAAAAGTAACAAAGACATCGAATACATATTGTTTTTTTTTCTTTTTATTGAAAAGATTTAAATAAAAAAGATTTGTTGGAAAGCCTTTTTTATCTCGATATTTATTTACTTTGAGTATGGGTGTGGATGTGTGTGCAGTGCGCGTGGGTGCTTGCGTCTGTTCTTAAACAGCTACACTCACATCTACACGCGCACCCGCATCCGTACCCACACCTGCAACGTACAGTTATACCCACACCATCGATGTGAAGCTAGCACGACGAGTAGCTACCATGACGGATTTAGGTAATCCTGAAATCTTGAATACTTGGACTTTTGAGGGCGGGATCCAGCTAGCGGTGCTCAGCAACATGTACACAAGCATTCTCAGCCAGATCCCGTCTCCAAAACTCCAAGTATTCAGGATTTTAGGGTTATCTACATTGGTCGTGGTAACTACTTGTTGTGCTAACTTCACATCGATTACCCACACACCCACACTCACACCCCGCATCCACACACACCCACACCTATACTCACACCCTTGACACCCAGAAAACACTTGATTGGCCGAATTATTGGCCCTCAAGATCCTATTTGGCTGAACGTTCTACCACGAAAACATTTGATTGACGGAAATCTGGACTGAGGAAATCCTATTGGGTGGGTGCCGTACCATGAAAACATCTGATTGACCGAATTCTGAGCCCTCGAAATCCTATTGGCTGAATGCCACACCCAGAAAATATTTGATTGGCTTAAACTAATGCACGAAGCGACCAATCTCACCGATTTTGGTTTTCTGATGTCATGTAATAAGCCATTTTGCAGAAGGTCAATGAAACATTGTTGTTCTGTGCGAACGAACGAACGTACGAACTCACGAGCGAATGCACATAACTCACTCTGCGTAAGACCCTCCTTTCAGTAGAGGAAATTAATTTAGATAGTTCATCATCAATTTTAAATAATATTCTCTTTTTATTGAAATCAGTAAAGAAAAAGCTAGCAAAATAAATAGAGGAGAAATATGAAATCTTGTGGACAGTAACCAAAGATGTTTTTACTACTCAACTTTTGAGTGTTATTATTCTATCTGTTGAGCATTTCAAAATAAATCGCAGTATAACATTCAATGCAGAATTAAATGCTCTATCACGTGAGATACGTATTTCTATTAGAAGCAATTCAAAATGAATTATTAATCAAAATATGGGAAAAATGAATCTTTATATGATGTTAAAACTACGGTATTTCAGTTTTTTCGACTCTGTATTGAAATCATAGAATATTATTACATATATAGATTTATGGAGTAAATCGAGCTCTATCGATTGGTATCTGATCTGAATGTAGAGATGAAAATTCTTGAAGGAAAATATTTGCATCCATAAATATGATATTATACTCAAAATAGATAAAATGTAGTGTCAGCGATTGATATTCAAGTCTGACGATCTCAACGCTTGCACATTTTAAAACAATGCTTAATATATGATTTCGATACAAAATTGAATGAACTACAATACACTATAAATTTTTTTTTTGGTGATTTGTTTCTCTCTCAGATACAAGGTCAAAATCCTAAAAACTAAACGAATTTTAATATGCTGGAAAAACTTAGTTTTTGAGCTTTTTCGATTCTGAATTGAGATTATAAAGAACCATCAAATATACAATTTTGTAGAGCAAGTCAAGCTCTATCGATTGGTATATGACTCAATTTGAACAGTGAAAAATTTTTGACTCCAAAATTTCAAAAAACTGATAAGTCAATTTTTCACACTTTTTAGCGTGATTTTTGATGATCTATCAGGTTCGTTACTTCTAGCGATCTAAAGGTAGTTCTGTAGACGGTAATATTTTGAATTCATATATGGTAGATAAGATCTAAAATTTCTATGGAGTCGAATCTACAATCTGTTGACCCTCATGTTTTCAATATCTTTGGTTTTTTCACGGAGCGTCTCTCTTAAATCATTTTTCTATATATCAATTGATATTGCAAGAAAATTTTTCAAAATAAATTAGTAATATTTTCAAATAAATTACATAGATCAAAACTTATAGTTTTAATGAAAAACAGGAACAATTCTTTCAGTGAGTTTCATCCAAAAGAAATTTTCAAACAACTGCAGGTTATAGAGTGCTTTTAACAAGTTTAATTCGATCATGTCTAGCATAAAGCTTTTAATCATATGTATATAAATGAAAAATAAAACAAAACAAAAAACAAGAACAAAAAACAAAAAATAAAAAAAATTTATGGGCTTTCTTTCTTCATGTTGAGATGTGTCATACGACTACCCATATCGTCGTCATCTATTTCTGTTGGTTGTTTATCGCTATCACCGCTTTTTCGTCTTGTTCTTGATTCAGATTGTTGTACTTCAGTTTTGATAAGTGTATATAATTGATTATTAATATCATCTGTTATTTTATCTTTTTGGGTGTCGGTGGGTAGGTGTGGGTGGGTGTGGGTGTGGGTGTGGGTGTCGGTGGGTGGGTGTAGGTGTGTGTGGGTGGGTGGGTGTGGGTATGTGTGTGTGGGGTGTGGGGTGTGGGTGTGGGGTGGGTATGGATGTGGGTGTGGGTGTGGGTGGGGTGTGGGTGTGGTTGTGTGGGTGTGGGTGTGGGTATTAGGATACGTTCAACGCCCATACCCACACCACCCACACCCACACCCACACCCACCCACACCCACCCACACCCACACCCACACCCACACCCACACCCATTATGG